TTAATAAGCTACCAGTCTATTTACTTTATGTGGCCTGTTAGTTGGTTCAACTCCATCACGCGTAATCATTGGTTAAGTCGGCTTTTAGATACTTACTTCTGTCTCTTATCACGAAAACACTCCCATCGCAGATAGTAGGAAAGCGAAAACATTATATTGCACATTAAAAATACTGAATACATATGCATACAATTTATATTTGCCTAGCTGAATATCGCTTCTCACTTATTCAGTGAGACCCCTTTAGACTAGTCTTATAAAATAAAAAAAATATTATAATAAGTTGAAGATTTCCGGGATACTTAACTATAGAATGAAGATCGCTGAATCCTTTCAAGGTTTTTACTCTTAAATTCGGGTACACAAAATTAAGGAAAACTTGCCTTTCTCCGTAAACTAACCTAACCACTTTAGCATAACGAGCACTATATTTCTTGGATAATCGCCCCCAAATCGTTTGGGTTTTTTATCGAAAACCCTTGAAGTAATAACAATAAACTTACATTTTACCAACACTTAAAATTATTGAAATGTACTGAAGGACTTGAATTTCAATAATTTGTAAATACCTATTCATGTTTACATATTATTTACAACTTCATTCTGGTCCCGTATGGAGCACAGAAGACAATAGAATACCATTGTCTTACATTCTGTTTTTGTTAAATAAAATTCAGTGGCATGCATATTGTCGCCTCGAGTGTTTTGTTGTGAAAATAGATGTTTTATGACATGTAGTGAGAACGGTAAACGAAGTTTTGCTATCGCTACCGCATTGCGAGGGGTGGGAGGAAGGAGGCTTGTTTATGTGGCAATTGGCGTCGCAATGAACTGGTATTCTGCCGGGGAGCAAGTTCTCAGCAAAGGCGGTTCCGAGTTGAGTAACAAATTGGAGCGTAGCGCGAGAAACTCTGAAATAATCATACGAGCTAGGTAAGTAAGTTGGGTTGAAAGTTCAACCAACTTGTATCTGATAGTAATTCACTTTGGTATTGCGGTCAAGATTTCAAGTGAGGTTTGTATACTCAACGAAATAAATACTTCTGAAAGTTAGTAAGGGATTTATTTACTGTTACTCTGAAAGCAGTGTAACTAATTTACCAACATACTTTTATCTAATTTTTTGTACAGAAAATCAAGTACATTTGATGTGGTATTGGTTCGGTAAAATTTAGTATTAATTCTTAATGTTTGAAAACTACTAGATCTGCATTTTATCATATATGAAAAAAACAATGCTTATCATGTAAGTTATTTAAAACTATTGCCATTCATATATCATACATACATCTAAAAATTTATAGGTACGACTAATTAATCCGATTTCTAGATAATTGAAAAGATATATATATCTACAATTTTGTACAAGGTAATATCTTGTATAAGATACGAGAACCCACAAATCGTCTTGTATCGTTTGAATCTAAACCTCTATTTATCAGTATGTTCCATATTACTCCAACGTCTCCTGAGGGTATGCAGACATGTTTTTCGTCAACGGGCTTAGAATTTAGTCGTACCAGTAAAACATACGTTTATAATTCACGTCACGTACTACGCATGGTTATTTCGATTTTTATTTCGTTTGAGCATTGAATACTATAGTAATCACCATACAATTGAAACAAACAATGAATGTCAATGGCTCTAGGCGCACATTCGCCAATCCAATAATTCCTCTTTAAATATTCTATGGCTCATCCAGCAAAAAGCTAATCCTCTGAATAATGGCTTATAGATATCAACGTTGGAGCAGGCGTGCCGGAAAAATATGCCGATTGTTTGCTCCTGTATGAGCTCAGGGTATTAATAAAGGCATTTATATAATAAATCGCGGGTTCGTTGATATTTTAATTGCCGTACCTCGAGCTATTTACAACTGCCATTGTATTGACTGTTCTGTTAAAAATTTACAGCTGATGGGTGAATTTTGGTTCATTAATAACAAATATTTGACGTAAATATATTATGTCTAAATCTGGTAATGATATATTGTTTTTTTTATGTAAATATGGGCAGTAAAGTTGGGGCGATTAATTTCGAAGAGTAGAAAAACTTTGGTAATAAATTATTTTGGTAAACGGCGAACAAGTTGAAACATTTGAAGTTGTATAGATTACTTGGTTAAACACAAGATAGAAGAGTCTGAATTTGTTAATACCTTTGTTAGGCATGGCCTGTTTGTTACAAGTTTTATTAAAACGTTGTAAATTATCTAGTCAAGAAGAAATATATCTAATTGTAAGGAAAATAAACTAATTTTGAAATATGAAATTTCTACCTACCTATTTCATGTATAATTAAAGATAAATTAATTTTATGTGACCTACCTCCCTCACCTTTTACATTCTATATATTAATTTCAACAATATATAGAATGTAACAGGCCAATGAAACGTTTTGAATGAAAATGCTTAACATTTTTTTTAAGAACATCTTAGATAATTTACAAAAATATCAACTAGCAGGTCTATTGAACTAAGGAAAGGATGTAAGTACAATATTAAACACTTACTAGTTATGAATATCAGTATAGTGTGAAATCACGTATTGTGATAACACCGATTGACAGAAAAAGATCTAAAGAGATACTAAAATTATATGGGTATTTAACTTTATTGAATTAGTGCTAGTTAGTGGTTTGTAGTCATACGTTTCAACTTAAAAATGTAAAGTAACAACTAAATTATTTAAAGGAGCAACACGAAAGTTTCTTTCTCGTTATTCCTGTGATAAGACTGTTTACCGAATGACAGGTAGATTAAAAACAATGTGATACTTATTCAAAAGTAATTATTTGAAAAAATGATTTCTATTCTATTCTATTCTAAAATTGTTAACGAGCTGCCTGTTCCGCCTTTATTTTTTGCATTATAAATACCTTTTAAAAATGTTAAAAAGGCCTCAAAAAAAAGGATTTTATCAATTTAAATACTACATTACTAAGAATCAAGAAACTGGTACCTAATAGTTCAACATGAACGCAAGGGTTTTGGTATAAACCAGTATTATTGTGAACTAGTGACACGCCCTTGCTTCAGTCGGGCTCCAGTGTGTTTCGGAGTTTCATATATATTAACTCAGTATAAAGCGTATGTCACTCAGGAGTAATGCATCTTTCAAATTCTCAAATCGGTGAAGTTCATTACTGTCCCCATAGCAAAATCGACTTTCTCTGTTTCTAATTATATAAATTCAGTATTTAATTATAGCATGAGGTAAATAGACTTAGTTACTAAAGGCAAAAGAAGTATCCACTCAAAAAAATGGTTTAAATCATGGTGTTTAATCATGTGACAAACCACATTTTTGAGTTATTTATAATTTATTTATGACTTAATGCTATGAGCATTCTCAATTAGTCAACAGTACTAGTACCAGAATTAGGGTACTGATGGTTATAATTAGTAATTATTAACAAACGTACACAATATAACATAAAATGGCAAAGTAAATTCCAGTGATAGGAACCTGTATAAACCTTTCCTCAAGAAGGTCGAATATGGATAACAAGACAGTTTGCATGTAAATCTTTTTTATATTCTGACCTTTCCGTGACCGGATACAAGACACGTGATCGCTGTAACTATTTCATAATTACTTTTCGTGTCTAATATAATATAAGTACAGGTAATGATATAAATGCTAATTTTCAAACTTAAGAATGGACACAAGAGATGTAGATGCATAGCAACTTTGTATTGTAAACTTTTTTAAAGTATCTAATTCGTCTAATTGTAAAATTTGTATTTGGTTGTATCTATCTAATAATATATACAGATACTGTTAGACATGCCAATAAAGACTTACACTAAACAGTATGTTTACATTTGCATTCACCTGCCGGGGCCTACATAAACTTATTATATAGTACCGTTTACAGTTAAAAAATTCCACCCCATTTTTTGGCAAAATAAGTTTAAATAGTTTATTTATTTATAATCTTCGACTCTGAAAAAAGTTGTTTGCTTTACAAATACTAACGTATAAGTTATTATTTTTCAATTTTTATATTACTGGCAGCTTGACCAGTTAATAAAAAGTATAGTTTTCTAATATTTATATCTGATATTTTTTATTCATATATTATTATTTGTTATCTTGTTATGGACAACTACATATTCTTATATTTCAAGACATTTCAGTTTTTGAATCGTCTCTTTTCTCTACCTTTATTATATAAATAACTTTATTCATGTTTATATATTATACATAATACGTTAATACAGACAATCACAGTTTTTTAATCATATTTATCAAATGACCATTGTCATACTGTCTATAGTTGAATCTTTGATATTATATATATATAAATAAAATATGTATAAACCGTAAATAGTCTAATTGTACAAAAGTTTAAATAATAAATTTAACTATTAATTTACAGAAGTAACAAAAATATCATATTTAATATAAAACATTACAAATCATATGAATAGAATTGCAAAAGTTATGAATACTAATAATATAATACAGGAAGAAAATTTATTAAATTAGAAGTACAACAGAACATTGACAGTAAAAGCGGTGTAAAGGGCGGTCTGCGAAGTGTTTACAAACTTGCGGGACATGTATCTCACATCACGAACTTTTGCGAGATATATTGTAAAGTTTACACGTAGATACGGATGCCTACTGTTAATAGAAATGGAATAATAATTATTGTTTTTATTAAGTTACATAAACTATTATTAAAGAAAGAGAAATGAAAATTAAATGCAAAAAAATACATAGTTAATTAAAATATATTGTTGTATTATGTAAAATACTAAATGTACCTATTTGTTGCCATCCATGTTTATTAGAAGAAATAAATAAATAAATTGTAATATTATATTATAACTAAATTGACAGCGTTCCCCACGTGGTTTTCAAATTTGACATACCAATATATTCTTTTTATGCTTTATAAAGATTAAGAAGTAAACTTTGGAAGAGTTGCAGATATAAATAAAGTAACAACAACATAGGAAAATAAAGTGAATCTGTTTTTTACTTACCATCGGAAGGTATTGCATATCCGCTAAATACCACAAGCAAGTGAACAAATGTCGCTATTTGCAAGCGTAGAATTGATCTATTACCATTCATGATGGAATAATAATTTACCCCAACGACATTGTAATCTTATAAACTTTTTTAACTGTTACAAATGTGTCAACAAATACGTTGTCATGGCTGTCGATGGGGTAACGGGGTTAGTCCATTCATTCGCTGCTAGAGGAATAGGTGCTTTTAAATATTCATTGGTAGGTCGTGAATAGAACGGGTGTTTGAGTCGTAAAGCGTGCGACGTGGTGCGGTGGCGGCGGGCGACGGGCGGCGTCGCAGCGTGCTCGCGGCGCGCCAGCTGCGTACTGGCCGCGCTCAGCGATTCGCTTTGTCTACGGTTCGTCTTCAGCCTGGCGCTTGCGTAGCTCCGCCTCGCTCTCAGATGAAAGGACGGAACATTACCAGTATTTGTAACAGTTTGCGTCAAATTGATATAAATGGAGACGGTTTTAATAAAGTGTAATTGACTTTTGCCAACTTTGCGTCGCATTAATTTCGACCACGCTAAGACGCCTCGGGCAGGTGCGGCGTTAAATACCACCCGAGTTACTTCGCTTTCGCTATGAATAATCTCGAATTTAAATTAATGATAATTATTATGAGTTTTTAAGTTCACTGCTATACCCAGGGATTTGCCCCAAAATTATGTTTAGGATGATGAACGGTGTCTGTTTTGATAGATATAATGGATGTCAGCTAATGTTGCTTTCACATGATTGTTGTCTCAAAGTAAAGCAAACATTTTTGTTTTGTTTATAGATTACCTACCCTAAATTTATAATAATTGATGTTTGGAAAGTAAATATAACGTATACAACCGAATACAGTTTTATTTTTCTTACAAGCTTTATTTTACTTATCTACAATGTTGCTAGGTAAGTATTTAAAATTAGGAATAAATAAAAACAAAAATTAATTTATAATTTACTGTTGTCAGAATAGTCTGAAAGTTGATATTTGATTTCCATTACTGTGGTAATGTTACGATGTCACAATTCTGGTTTTGTGATAGAAACGAAAGTTGGTCATAAGAAATTTGGAACTACACATTATAATACAGTTACAGCATTGGTATTTTAATTTTAATTTATTTATAACATGATATATAAGATTAAATATTTAAAAATAAAATTGCAGTATTCGAAACATCAGAATTTTTAAGAAGTATATAATTTCTCAATACAATAAGTTGCTTATCTTCAAAAGCTGTACGTAGGTTTTGATAAAACAATTATCGTCAGTTGTATCTTGTTATCAAGTTTGAACAAGACGTAAATGGAATTTGTACCAGATGCAAATGAAATTTATTGTTTTAAAGGCTTATTAAGGGTGCCCAACGACTTAGGGAGGTAATAAAATAAATAGGTAATCTGTGACGCAAGGCTATTATTAATATTGATTTAAAATTTATACTGTCCATAGGCAATGGCCGTCTGCAATTCTAAGAGTCATGTGACGACGATGATTCTGACGGAACTTTTTAACGTCTTTTTAAAGACTCCCACCTCGAATTATTTTGGGAAAAACTTAGTATCTAAGTATTGAGGCAGAAGTGTTTTTTAAATGTTAATAAATAGTCACAAATGTCGTAGATTCACAGATATATTATAAGTGCTATTATACTATTCTTTAATATACTACTATTCATAAGTGCTTACATTGAGTCTATTCTATTCTACAAAATGTGCAAACATTTATGCAGAATTTATATGCATATTAAAATTTATAATACTAGACCAAAGACTCCGTAATGAATTTAGCGATATAGATAAATTTGGATCATAAAAATTTGTTACGTATTTAATAGATACAATTTATCAAATTTTTTTACTTATTTTTATGATAAAAGATTAGATACTAGATTTTTTTATATTTACAGGTCATCGTGTAAAATATTCTATCTACATACGGTAATTAGATTTGTTTTTCATAATTATCCAGAAAGGGTTGTTATTTGAACGTTCGCGTATATTATTAAGTACCAATAATATATTGATTGTAGTTTTCAAGGATGTCAAATTAGCTTCATACCACAAATGTCTTTCAGACCTTCGTTAACCATATCAAATAATTTTCTACAAGTTAGCTGTAAGATTTTGTTTGAATTAAACAATGAGACGACTTCGATTGAGACAAAATAAGTAGATAATTAAAAATGAACCATGTACATATTATAAGATATAGGATCAGTGTTAGTTAAATGGCGCAGATGCATGATTTCTTTATAAATTTAAGACGATCCCAATAATATTTTATTTTATTCTCCATTCTCCATTCAATAAGGAGGCCAAAAATTATATTACATACAATTTTATGCATCCTTATAAGATATCGACAATTTCGTTTCGCTTTCCTTTTATCAGTATACTGTAATTATTTATTGGTTTCTATTTATTTCCTCATTCTATCTTTCATATCTATATCATAAATTTGCATTGGAAATCTTCATATTTAATTAGGTAATTTATATATACACTCAAGGTTTAATAAGATTTACATTAATATTATGGTTGCAGATATGTCTCCGTTGCCGTGTGTGAACTTCGATAAGCATGAATATTTAATCGTAATACGTCAATGTAGTAACTGATTCAATATAACATTCACGCATGGTGCGAAATGCCTTCATAATTATATCATAATTGATTGATACTCTATAACCATATACATCTATCTTGTACAGCCAAAATAATTTTTACATTACATAACAATTTGAGTGTTATTATTATGTTAATTTTACTAAAAAATAAATTTATGATAATTCTGTATTTATATACTGGCTGTTTCTTTATCTTATATATAAAATTCTCGTGTCACAGTTTTCGTTCCCATACTCCTCCGAAACGCCTTGACCGATTCTCATGAAATTTTGTGAGTGTATTGAGCAGGTCTGAGAATCGGCCAACATCTATTTTTCATCCCCCTAAATGTTAGGGGTAGTCCACCCATATTTTTTTTTTTATTTTAAGGCAAAACAACGTTTGCCTGGTCAGCTAGTAAATATATAAAATACTCAAGTAATGATAGTTCAACATGGTCAACATAACAAATATGTTGTCCTGTTTTGTGACAACAATAAACAAAAGTCTCTCAAACGTCAAAGCTAAAAGTTGCATCAAAGATATTATTCATGGATATTGGTATGTACATATATGAAAAATATACATATCACCGTAGTTGGGTAAATATTTTTTAAAAGTTGTATGATATCACCTTTATAAAACTTTAGAATTCATCAAGGTATATACATATATGTTAAGCAAACTATATATAAGTTAAAAAGTGGTATGAATATCTACTGTCGCTATTTGTAATCAATCGGATATCATTATATTTGTTTGTATGTGTATTTTCAGATAATATATACCTATACCTAGTATTACCTATCTAGTATTATATAATATAGTAGATTTAATAATATTGTACAAGCTGTTAATTACGGTTTCACCTGCCCGTGACTGGCTCTCTTGGAAATTCTGCAAAGTCCATTATTACTGGATGCCTACGTCATAAAGGAAATAGGTTCCCTTTCATTCAAAATTTCAACCTTAGAGCCAGCCATTAAGGTTACGTGTCGATAGATAAGCTGGTAGAAATAAACCTCTGTTTATATACCTATAGTAGTTATGTACAGTACATGAAGCTAAATCTCACTCAAACCAACTCAAACCAACTCAAACCAACTACGGTTTCACATTTATAAAATGACAAGGATTAATAATATTATCCGTAGAATCTTGACAATAAATAAAAATAGATAGATACTTAAAAGGCTGACCGTGTTTTCTTTTCGATGGTTCCACTAATACGCTGGCCGAAGTAGGCTAGCCCTTTGCTCCCCAGAGATGTGGATCAGGCGGTCGGATATTTGCTTAAAGAACCTCCTCTTATATAATGTCTTGTATGTTTGTTTTGTTTATAGCATAGAAAATATATGAATGATTTATGCATAGAAAATTTACAAGTATATAGTAGATGAGTTCTAAGTTAGGTTCTTATTACATAGCAATTATAATGTAAGTACATAAATCCGTTAGAATAAAAAAAACTAGCATGTAAGATAAATATACACAAAGAGTCTCATTTGTAAAGTCGGTTGAGAAAGAACGAAACAGTACACAGTACAGCAACTGAACACATGACCAAAGAATCAGTTGTACACTTCCATTCTAATTTCCAAAGTATTTAATACTAGCTACCCACCCCGGCTTCGCACGGGTGCACCATGTAGATATTATACATATAAACATTCCTCTTCAATCACTCTATCTATTAAAAAACCACTTCAAAATCCGTTGAGTAGTTTTAAAGATTTAAGCATACTTAGGGACAGACAGAGACAGCGATTTATTTTATACTACATATGTAATGATGATGATGATAATAATTAAGATATATTGAATTTTAATTAAGAAAAGCAAATTATGTAATAAACATTAAAACATTTTTATTCACGTTTTTGCATGATAGTGCTCAAAGGGGCTAAACCCATTTGAGCACAAAGGATGAACGACCCAATGATGTTTTATGTCTATAGTATTACGTCGTAATATTATGTTAGAGAATAATACATATCGTATTTATTAACTGATATTTATTTTTTTGACCAGTTGTTTACCAGTAGAAAATTTGTACGAATCGGTAACTAAACCCTCTGCAGAATCATTTTAAATACAAAGCGATGTACTCGTAATTAATAACAGGAACGTCAATGATGTTTAGTAGTTTTATTATTTTATAAATATTTTTTACGGTTTTAAACTAACTTTATATTCGCATAACTACTATTCCTAACATCGAAAATGTAATGGCTACAACTTATATAATAAAAATAACGAATTAAAAAGTTACTGAATGGTATCGAATTAATATTGAAGTTAAATGTATGTATATATGTATTTATACTTGAAGTTGATGGCAATCTGGCGTACGATCCAGCTGATGGTAAGCAAGTGCTTTACGGCTACTGTAATCACCGTAGCGGCCGCTACGGTTATTATCGTAGCTGTAAGCAGTGGTATTACAGCCATCTGTAGCTACGGCGTAGCATATAGAGATCTGCATTGTGAAGGCGTGAATAACGGGAAATGTTGGTGTCTACTCAGTACAAAATTACAATGTAGTAAAAGG